GCTGCAGCAGCAGTAACAGTAGCAGTAGCAGTAGTAGCAGCATCAGCAGCGCCAGGACGTGACAGAACTAATGAAACAGGTCGTTCTGCTTTTTTTCCACCTGGTAGTTTCCCTTCTCCCTCCTTCCACATGTTGTCTCCTCCTAGACATCCCAATCCCCTCTCCGTGCCTCCTCTTCTGCTCTGCACGTTGCCATTCTGATCTGCACAGTCCTTGGGTGGGGCTCGCAGAGGGTGCTGCTGCTGCTGCTGCTGCTGCTGCTGCTGCTGCTGCTGCTGCTGCTGCTGCTGCTGCTGCTGCTGCCACGGCTGTGGCGCATGTGGGTTACTTCTAGCACACACGTCATATGGTGCTGCTGATGGACCTACTACCATTGCACCCACATTCAATCCTTTTACAGCTGGCAAAAAGGGCCGAATCATCCCCAATGCTCTGGCGAGGACAGAAAGAGGAGGCACAGCAAGGTTACAAGCGTTACCTGTTGAAGAGATAGGATTTACTGCCTTAGTAAAGCGTTCCGCTCCCGCTGTTCCTACTGCTTCAACTGCTCCTGCTGCTCCTCCTGCTCCTGCTGTTCCTCCTGCTTCTGTTGCTCCCACTGCTCCTGCTGCTCCTGCTTCTCCCGCTGCTCCAGCAGCCCGGCCCTCCAGGAGTCTGCTCATGCCCATGATGCCGATGCTGCTCGCGAGTATGCTGGCTACTGGTATTGCCCCACCACCAGACACCAAGACATTGTGATCCCGAGAGAGTGGCAGGCTGGCACTCGTAGCAGAAGGCGCACACAAGCCGCGGGTGGCGGTGCTTATGCTGCTGCTGCTGCTGCTGCTGCTGCACCAAGCAGCACCTGCAAAACCAGGTCGCAGGGCGTCTGGACTTGCCTGCTGCTGCTGCTGCTGCTGCTGCTGCTGCTGCTGCTGCTGCTGCTGCTGCTGCTGCTGCTGCTGCTGCTGCTGCTGCTGCTGCTGCTGCTGCTGCTGCTGCTGCTGCTGCTGCTGCTGCTGCTGCTGTCGCTGTTGGATGGTGATTGGCTCTGTTCTGTGCTGCGTGCTGCGTACTGCCTGCTCCACGTTCACACCAAAAGGAGGACTGAAGTACCCACCACCAGTAGCTCTGATAGAGCAGAATCCAGATGCACTTCTGCTATTGCTGGCGGCGAGAGCAGCTGCTGTAGCAGGGGCAGCATCAGCAGCAGTAGCGGCTGCCGAGGTAGGGAGGGCGCGTTTAGATTAGATTTTAATTCCTGGGCGTTTCCACATGGCTGCGCTGCGAACAAGAACTTTGTGTAGGAACGGGGGGAGTAGAGAAGGGGGGAGGTGGGTGGGAGTTTGCAACGGGGAATAGGGAAACGTCCATCGAACCACGCCCAGCGACTTTTGATGTGTTCAAACTAGCAACATTTTGCTGGAAGGTTGGCTCAAAAACTGGGGCTAGTGATACCACGGGTCTTGTGACGTTTGTTACAGAACAGGGCGGTTGTTTCGCGTGATGTTATCGAGGCGGCCTTGTCTCCCACTCCCCTGCCTTGTCCCGATTCACACCTGGCGGAAGGGCCGCCCGACCTTGACAGGGTGACATCACCACAGACAGACGTTCCTTCCTTCCTCCGCTTCAAGCAGCCATGCATTTTTCTTCATGCACTTGCAGTCACCCATGCTACAGTTCGCTTTCGTACAAAACGCGGCAATAGTGTTTCCATACTCGTTACACTCTCATCCCTGATTTCACTACGCCATTGTCTTCTCTACAGAAATTCCCATCCGCAAAAATGCCGTTGCATAACACACACAACCTCGATAGCAGGGCGTGTTCGTTTTGCCATCATGTGGTGAAAGTCGAATTCTGGAATCAAATTTTTGTTGCCTGCAGTATTCGAACACCAGTTATTCAGAAATTTCAATAACGGTGCGTATGACACAAAATGAAACGAAATTGAAATGGTGCTCAAATGTGACACACTTTAAAATCGACTTTTGCGAACCGCGTGCGAAAAACAATCAGAGTCGCACGGGATGCATACGACTAAATAGGATCTGGCAGGTCGACGTGGCTGATGTTAATGACATTCCCGCCAAGCGACTTGACGTGTCGCATCAGTCGTACAAATTCGTGAATTTGCGACAAAATCGCATGGCGGAATGTTCGAAATTGTAGAAATTGTGGAGGTTTCACTCAATCGAACTAGCGAGAGTGAAGAAACCGATTTCGAAGTGTATTACGGAGTGGACACCTACGAGACGGGGAATTTGCGAAGTCATCTAGCGACATTCGCGAAACTTTGTTACGAACAAAAGTTCGAACGTTCGGATATTTAGCGAACACGCCCTTATCACCCACCGATGCTTTTCAGAACGCCCCAGTCGTTCCCCTCCCTCGCGAGTTTTTTACTTAGAGAGATTTCATTTATTCTCAATTCGCCCTTCACCTCACTTCCGAGCAATTTTAGGTCAATCTCACAAGTCACGAGAATGGAAGGTGAGGAAGCTGTATGTCTCTTCCGCCGTATTCCAGACGATATACTTCTGGAAATTCTTAGCAGCATACAGGACATCCGCTGTCTCGCGCACTGCGCATCTGTCTGCAAGTTATGGCACCGAAAAGCGCGCGAAGTCGAAACCGCAACGCTGATTTGCCCGGGGAACTTTAAGACGTACTGGGATAAAGTCATGGATATTGTCGATAAGCTACAGGGATTTTCCCGTTTAAAGAAGGTCCGCGTGTGCATCGGGACGAATGGGATGGGCGGGAGCGGCTCGGCGGGGAGGCGTGACAATAGCGAGGCTTGGACCAAGTGCATGCGCTACGCCGAGATTGGCGCCTCGGTGGATAAGTTCCTGTTTCTCGCCGCGAAATCCGGGAGCGCGGATGTTTTCTACAGTAGCATCGGCGGGGGTGGCGGAGAGACGGCGGAAGCCGCGCAGCGCGGGGGAATGCAGGGAGGGCTGCGGCGGGGGGAAACCGGACAGCCCCGCGCAGGGACTCCAAGAGAAGGGGAAGCGTCGCTTGCGGATGGGATTGATGCGGAGGAAGGCGGCGGGGGGGAGGACATTCGCGGAGCGCGCGGAAGCTCCCGTTTGGAGCGCGGACAAGAGGACGAGGGTGAGGGGGACGGGGAGCGGGAGGGGGACGAGAGAGAGGGGAAGCGGCAGCAGCAGCAGCAGCAGCAAGGACAGGGCCAATACGGATTTTCTTTTCCCCAAGCTTACATGACACGTGATGCAGCAGCAGCATCAGCATCAGCAGCAGCAGCAGCATCAGTGGACCTAACCCTAAAGCAAGTCATGGGTCCAAGCGACGACTCCTTAAAGCGCATGATGCCCGTTATAATCTTCGCCATTATCAGGGGCTTTGACGAGTTCCGCGACGTAATTCCCTGTCTATTGTTGAAGTTACCCCTGCTGCAGCAGCTGCTGCTGGTTGACGTCACTGACAACGTCACCATCCACATGCGTCCGCACCACATGGCGCAGCTTCGGCGGGCCAATCGGCGGACGTTCGGCGGGAGCCTAGGCTTGGAAAGTCTAGGCTCGGAAGGCCTAGGTCCGGAGAGTCTAGATGTGGAGAGTAAGGTTCTGGGGGAAGGGAGCAGTGGGAATGGTGGAGGGTTAGATATTAGCGGGCGGGCTGTGGAGGGTTTGCCCACAGACATGGGTTCTGACACGGGAGGTGGCATGGGGGTTGGAGTGGGTGGTAGCGTGGGTGGTAGCTTGGGTGGTAGCACGGGTGGTGGCATGGGTATAGATGGTGCGGGAAGCAGTGGGATAGGCGTGGGGATAGGGGGGCGAGCAGGCATGCCACACGTGGGCGTGGGGGTAGGGGTGGGAAGTGGCAGCACGCGTGTGGGCATGGGGGCATCAGATGCGTTTGGGGATGAGGAGTTTCGCCCAGAGCTGCTGGGAGCTGGTGCTGCCTACACCGCTTCACTCGCTACCCCCGTTGCACCCTCGACCACCGGTGCTCCCCTTCCCCCTGCCCATTCATCAGCAGGAAATGCTGCTGCCTCTGCTGCTGCTACCGATTCTGCCGATGCTCCTTCTTTTCCTGCTCCTTCCCCTTCTGCTGCTGCTCCTGCTGCTCCTGCACGCACCTCAATGCTAGAAACCGCTGCTCCTGCTGAGCTGTCCAGGCGGGACCTGTCTTGCCACCCCGACTCGCCCAATTTCCACGTGTCGTTCTGGCGCACCGACAGAGTCCGGGTGGCTTATCCGCTGCCACGTCAGCAGCAGGAGCTGACTGACATGTCAGTCTGCGTGGCCACGCAGGACTCTGTTGCGCTGGAGGATGCTGACGTGGCGGAGCTTGCCAGGTCAGCTGTTGGCGGGCCTGTGTTGGCTGCCACTGTGGCGTTTCTCAACAGCCACTCATCCATGCATGCACTGTAGCATAAACTATAGCATCACTTGTAGCTTTCACTACAGCATCACATGTTGACTGCACAGTACCATAACCGAGGGCCAACCAAAGTTTGATGTGTGCTGGGGGCATGTGGTGTGATTGTGTGGATTGTTCACTCTCCCTATCCAGGCACGTGGAGGCCACGTGGGTGTGCTCTGTGCTCTGCAGGAAGAGGGGGAGGGTGGGTGTTGTACGTTGGGTACTGTAGAGGAGTTGCAGGTGGTTGTGCTGGTTGCACGAATCAACTTACTTCTACCGTAAACGATGCTTGATGTGCAGATTTAGAGTGCTGATTCCTTGTACAGATGCCATGGTGACTGCTGCGATATGAATAAGTGTACCGCACAGTATCTTTGGTCTCACTCGCGCACATACTGGGCCAGTGACGCACTCGCACCTATGAACAAACGGACTCGCATTCCCACTGATTTTCCTAAAGGAGCAACAATCGAAAGCACTTGCTTGGTGCACTGCACTGGACGTGCTGCTGTCAGGACTTGCTGCCACGAGCTCGCTTCCTCTGGCTCTTGGCTGTTCGTCGACCAGAGTTAGGGGTTTACTGACCTGAATCTTGGGTTTCAAGACCAGAATCTTGGGTTTGGCTCTTGTTAACCAGAGGTGTTGGTGGTTAAAGGCCCCGCTCTGAGTCTTGTGGTTTGCTCCATCTGGGTTGTCGTTTCTTCCATCATGGCACTGAATTCAGAGAAGTCAATCTTGCCGTTCTGGGTCGATGGGAGAAGGTAGAGAGTGCGTGCCAGAGTTTGTGAGAGCGCGTGTGAGGAAAGAGAGGGAAAGGGAAAGTGAATGCATCAAGGCACAGATTCATGCGACGCAAAAAGAGAGAAAAGGGGAAGGGAATGAATGTGATTCGACGGCTCTTTGTCTCACCTTATCACTCACCACCTCCCTGTCTCGCCTAAGCACTCACCTTATCAGAGTCCACGTCAGCAAAGATTCTCTCCATCTCCGCCTCGCCAACCCCAGCACTCCCAGCTTCCCTCTCCAGTGCACTGCGCAACTCATCTCCTGTAATGAACCTGCCAATAACGGGGATATCAGAGTGGGAATGTATCAGTCAGATCAGATCTTGCAAATGATTGATGCCTATAGTTCTTGTACTTAAGTTCACTTGATAACCATATCGTTGGCATTTCACTTTACTAATCCTAATAAAAACATGGGGTACTTTAGCAACTTACCCATTCCCATCGGTGTCAAAGTGGGCAAACGCCTGTTGTAGGTGAGCCTCCCTGGTCTCCCTGCTGACGCGCATGGTTGCTGCCAGAAACTCGTTATAGTCAATGCTGCCACTGCTGTCTACGTCAGCCTGTTACAAGCACACAAGAAGGTGTTTACACTCAAACCGTTCCAAACACCTGCTGCAGCAGGTGTCGTGTAACATGAGAACCGGGGCTGGATACATGCATTGCACATACAGGACCATACAAGCCACAGAAATCCGAAATGGATGCGAGATCATAAGCCTACCGCTGCCATCATTTGCCGAAGCTGCTCCTTAGGCACGGTATCCCCGAGCCTCTCAACCCCATCCCTGAGCTCAGCCAATGAAATCGTCCCACTGCCATCCCCATCCATGGCTTCAAACATCTCTCTCAACCCCATGGCCTCAGCATCAGTCACGTGCGAGGAGATGAGTTTCAGGGTGAGGCGCTTGAGTCGGTTCATGGCTGCAAAGCGCTTCAACCGCGTGATGACTGCTGGGGCTAGAGGCGTGTCGGCCGCCACTCCACCCTCCCTCACCCACGGATGCTCTGGTGGAAAGGAACCAAGGCGAGGGGGAGGCCATGAGTTTGAGAGTGAGGCGCTTGAGTTGGTTCATGGCTGCAAAGCGCTTCAACCGGGCGACCACTGCTGGCGCTAGAGGCGTGTCCGTTGCCACTCCCCCCTCCCTCACCCACGGATGGTCTGACGGAAAGAAGGAACCAAGGCGAGGGGGAGGCCATGAGTTTGAGAGTGAGGCGCTTGAGTCGGTTCATGGCTGCAAAGCGCTTCAACCGGGCGACCACTGCTGGCGCTAGAGGCGTGTCCGTTGCCACTCCCCCCTCCCTCACCCACGGATGGTCTGAAGGAAAGAAGGAACCAAGGCGAGGGGGAGGCCATGAGTTTGAGAGTGAGGCGCTTGAGTCGGTTCATGGCTGCAAAGCGCTTCAACCAGGTGACGTCGGCTGGCACTAGAGGCGTGTCTGCTGCCACTCCCCCCTCCCTCACCCACGGATGGTCTGAAGGAACCAAGAAGAGGGAGAGGGGGATTGGAGGGCAGCGGGAAGAGAACTTTGGCGGCAAGGGAAGGCAACTCTTAAAGCGCTACCATCCCCATCCACGGCCTGGCGCTTGAGTGGGTTCATGGCTGCAAAGCGCTTCAAGCAGGTGATGACTGCTGGCGCCAGAGGCGTGTCTGCTGCTGTGCCTCCCTCCCTCACCCACGGATGCTCTGAAGGAAAGAATCGAGGGGAGGGGGGGACACGTTTAAGAGCAGGGGTGACTTTTGAGTCGACTCAAAAGGCGAGGGGGGGACACGTTTGAGAGCAGGGAGAGGAGACTTTTTGCAAGCAGCAGGTGCGTGAGGTGAGGTCATGTCAACACCATAGCCGAAATCATTTTTGAGAATTCTCAAAAACCACTTACTGCAAGCAGCAGGTATGTGAGGTGAGGTCACGTCAACACCATAACTGCACAGCACACTCACGTGCTGCCACTCCCGTCATCACCTTCCGTGACCATTCCTTGCATTCCCATGCTACAGCACAGCAGACACCACACACTATACACCACACAGACGATTCACCCCACCCCCACACACCACATACACTTCTCACACCCCCACCCACACACGTACCCATGAGCTGTGCTGCTGTGGGCCGTCTCTCTGCCTGCTGCTGCAGCAAGCTCAGCACCAGCTGCTTCGCCTCTGTCGACACTACATACCACACACCCACGAAGCACACATACCCCCATACACAGTTCACAGCACTTCACACACACGCACCCATGAGCTGTGCTGCTGTGGGTCGACTCTCTGCCTGCTGCTGCAGCAGACTCAGCACCAGCTGCTTCGCCTCTGTCGACACTACATACCACACACCCACAAAGCACACATACCCCCATACACAGTTCACGGCACTTCACACACACGTACCCATGAGCTGTGCTGCTGTGGGTCGTCTCTCCGGCTGCTGCTGCAGCAGACTCAGCACCAGCTGCTTTGAAACACCTAGAATAACATGACCCCCCATGCAACGCATCCCCCGCACCACGCACGTACCCATGAGCTGTGCTGCAGTGGGCCGTCTCTCCGGCTGCTGCTGCAGCAGACTCAGCACCAGCTGCTTCGCCTCTGTTGACACCTGCGGCCACGGCTCCTCTGATTGGTCCACGTGGCCCCACAGAATCTCCTCAAATATCCCCTCGTCTGTCTCTGCAAGGGCAGGGGACCGGGGGGACGGGATGGGGGGGAAAGGGATGCAAAGACGGGAGAGCGGAGGGGAAGGGGAAGGAGGAGAGAGGGGGAGGGGGGGAGGGACAGAAGGAAAGGCAGGACAGAAGGAAAGGCAGGAAAGAGGGGAAACTATGAATGCAAGGAGGGTAGATGAGAGATAGTGGGAAAAATAAGTGGGAAGCGCGAGAAAAACGAATGGATGGGGAAGCGGACGGACGGGAGTTGGGTTGTGGAGGGCGGGGAAGGGGGGAGGAGGGGCGCGGAAGGAGAGGAGAGTCTACCTGCCCAGAAGGGCGGAGATCCCAAGGCAGGATTTATAGCACGACCCCCACAGTGGGGCCCACACTCCACATGTCCGCCTCCGGGTGATTTTGTTTCAAAACCTAATGAAACCACCTGGAAAACCTTATAACGGGCACAAGAGTCTACCTGCCCAGAAGGGCGGAGATCCCGAGAGCAGTATGTAGAGCAGAGCACGACCCCCACACTCCACAGATCCGCCTCTGGGTAGTGTCACTAGAAGTCCACATAGAATGTCTTATAGCGGGTACAAGAAATTACCTGCCCAGAAGGGCGGAGATCCCGAGAGCAGAATGTAGAGCACGACCCCCACGCTCCACAGGTCCGCCTCTGGGTGGTTTCGTTACAAGACGAATTGTGAAGCCTTATAACGGGTACAGGAATTTACCTGCCCAGAAGGGCGGAGACCCCGAGAGCAGAATGTAGAGCACGACCCCCACGCTCCACAGGTCCGCGTCTGGCCCGTAGCTGCCTCGGATGACCTCTGGCGCCATGTAGAACGCACTGCCCGCTACAGTGTGCAGCGGATTGCCTTGTAACGGGGATAGATGGCGGAGTGGTGCGGGTGGGAACCGCGGGGGTGGGGAGGGGTAGTGTGTGGGGGAGGGGAGGATTGGGCGTGGGAGGAGGGGAAGGATGGGGGGGAAGGGACGGAAGGGAGAAGATTGGAAGGTAGCTTGGAAGAAAGTGTGCAGAGTGGGAAGGAATTGCAGGCAGAGGGAAAGCGGGGATTTGCATCAGGCCTTTTACATGAAATGATTCGCATGATAAGCTGGAAAGAGAGAACAGATTCCTACGGGCGCGGAGTAAAATTGGAAAAAGGAGCGAGGGAGGTCAGGGGGGGGAGTGGGGGGGAGTGGGGGGGAGTGGGGGAGAGAGAGGGGGGGCGAGCCTTGAGAAGAGAGTAGGTTGTGGGGGGGTAAAGGGCTGCTGTGATGAGCGGAGAGGTTTGCTTACCTGGCCTATAGAAGGCGGACAGGCCAAAGTCGACGGCTTTAAGAGGCGCGCCCTCCTCGTCGCTCGATACAAGAAAGTTCTCGGGCTTTAAGTCCCTGTGAATCACGTAGTTGGCATGGCAGTACCTCACAACCGATACAATCACACGGAGGACCTCCGCTGCTGCGCGCTCGCTGTAGTGTCCTCTCGCTATTATATGATCGAATAACTCGCCGCCTGTACAGAGCTCCATGATTATATACACTGCAGAATCGTCCTCATAAGCACCTTTCAGATTAATCACATTCGGGTGATCCGATAAGAGGTGTAGAATGGCGATTTCTCTCTTGATGTCTTCCACGTCGCTGCTCGTTATAAGCTGTTTCTTCGATATAAGTTTACACGCGTACTGTAAACCCGTACGCTTCTCCGTGCATATGTAAGTCACGCCGAATTGACCTCTTCCTAATTCCCGTCCGAAATTGAACAAATCGCGAACGTTTTCCGTCTCTCGGCCAAGTATGGAATCCGTCAAATTGCTGCCGGTGTCCCTAACGGTCGCTGGATCCTTACTGGCATGAACAGGCGAAACGAAAGACTGCCAACCATCGCGTCTGGTTACACGTTTCGCTAGAGACGGAAACCGTTTCGCGAGGCTCCCATGGACGGACCCAGAGCGTCCTGCACCAGTAGCAGCTACAGGAACGCAACCATCGCGACGGCATTGTAACGAATGCGATAATGCCGAGAGATGATGCCCTGACCCCGCTAGGGGAACCTCCACGTGCAGAGCGGGAAGTCTAAGCGACTCCAGCATAGATAGGAGGGGAACTACCGCTTTTGAGTCGACTCAAAAGAAGGCTAAGCGACTCCAGCATAGATAGGAGAGGAACTAACGACGCGGCTTGCACCGATTGACGGCGCTGGCTCAGTCCGCCTAATGTAGTAGCTAGCTGTTTGCAAGACTGGCTGTTGACGGAGATAGGGACAGAGACTCACGATAATGCAAGCAGAACTTTTCTCTGGGCATTTGCCGTGCCGTCCCTTGGGACTGTCACGCGGCGGTACTCGTGGTACATACTCCGATTCAAGTCCGCGCCTGTTATGCAACATAAATACACGATTCGCCTTAAAGATTCGTCTAGAGCGAAATTGATATCATAATCCATCCTCATTCCAATTCATATTTGTGCCTGATATCCATCCATCCATTCTAAAGTCGCAAGATTATCAGTTATATCACAATCATACACTCACACAAAATGCAAAGCCACGCTGAACACCACCAAACATTGAGCTCCTCACACTAACTAGCTTTATGCTAACCTACAAACTTCTGCACAACATCACACATAACACCTAAATGTCAAATGTTGTAGCCTATAGTGAGGTTTGTCTTAGGGGGTACAAAACTTAGGGTTATGGGCGCACTCACCCGCTATATAAACAAGCCCTTTTATCCCAATGGTTAGTGGCTGGGATTCTGACATGGTATCAGTTAGGTTAGGATCCTGTGGGATCCCGTTCCGCCGTTCTCCGTTCGTACCACCCGAGCCTGATCCTAGCTCTCGTTCGTCTCCTTCTCGTTGTTACCGAGCCTAGCGCCGAGCCACGCTCTCGTTCGTATCGTTCCAGCTGTTACCGAGCCTAGCAACGACCCACGCTCTCGTTCGTATCGTTCCAGCTGTTACCGCCCCCCCGTCGCGTCGCCTTCCCCCCCCTCGAGACGCGCCCGTCCCTTTCCCCCTGTCGCGTCGCGCTCCCCCCGTCGCGTCGCGTCCGCTCCTTCCCCCCCGTCGCGTCGCCTTCCCCCTGTCCCGTCACGCCCCCCCTTTCCCCCCGTCGCGTCGCCCTCCCCCTGTCCCGTCGCGCCCGCCCCTTCCCCCCGTCGCGTCGCCCTCCCCTTGTCCCGTCGCGCCCGCCCCTTCCCCCCGTCGCGTCGCCCTCCCCTTGTCCCGTCGCACCCGCCCCTTTCCCCCCGTCGCGTCGCCCTCCCCCTGTCCCGTCGCTCCCGCCCTCTCCCCCCGTTGCGTCGCCCGTCCCGCATCGCCTGCCGCCGTCGCCCGCCCCCTGCGCGCCTCGCCGCGGCCCCGCCGTCGTCGCCCGCCGCTGCGCGCGTCGCCGCTGCGCCCCCTGCCGTCGCCCGCTGCGCGCGCTGCTGGCCCCTGCTGCCGAGCGCGCTGCCATCGCCCGCCGCTGCGCCCGTTCCCGTTCCCCGCTGCTTAGTCCCCTGTTACCTCCCGCTGTCACGCCCGCTGTGGCGTCCGCTCCTCCCCTGTCCCAGAGTACCGCCGAACCCTAATTTGCCTCTCACCTACTGCTGTCCCCTCCCTCTCCGTTCGCGTTCGTTTTCACTATGGCGACTCAGCGTGTCCTTCGTTTCGACGCTGACGGTAGACCTCTTGATTTTTCCGTCTGGCTTCTTCGTGCTCGCCGTCTGTTAGAGAGTCAGGTCCAGGCAGGCGAGACCCTCTGGGCGCACGCTACTGGTGCCCTACCTGCGCCCCCCGACCCTACGCCTTTAGGACCTGCCCCTGACGACGCCGCTAGAGCCCGCTTTGCCACTCAGCGAGCTGACCAGACGGCTTGGACGTCACGTGACGCTGCGGCCTGCATCGCGCTCAGCAGCCTCCTCCCTGAGTCTGAGGAGGTTCACTTCACTCAGGTTCGCACCGCTGCTGCGTACCTCACTGCGATTAAGGCCCGCTACTCTACTCCCGCTGCTGTCTCTCTTGGCCGCCTGTTCCTCCCATTCCTGTTTCCTGACCTGGCGTCTTTTGAGCGCTCTGCTGACTTGATCGCTCACCTCCGCTCGCTCGACGCTAGTTACCGCGCTGCTTGCACTGAGGCACAGCTTGCACTGCTTCCTCCCCCTATGGCGATTACTATCTATTTCATCGCCACTAGCCTCCCTGACCGCCTTGCCTCCGTTCGCGACGCGCTTCTGCTGAAGCACCCTAGTGAGCTCACCGTCGAGGTCCTTGAGTCTGCACTCAAGGACGTCGAGAGCAACCTTCGCTCGGTAGCCGCTGCCTCTGGTGCTGTGCCCCCCCCACTCTTCCACGGGTGCACAGTCCCGCAGTTACCCACCTTTACTGCCTCACTTGCCACTGCCGCTACTGACGCGACTGCAGCTGCTGTTACGACTGCGTCGCGGTCCCGCGGTAGGAGTGGCAAGAAAGGCGGTTCTGGTGGTGGTAGTGGAGGTGGAGGCGGAGGTAGTGGAGGTGGCGTTGCGCCTGGCGGCGGTGGAGGTTCAGGGCCTGGAGAGGCGCCTCGTGCAGTGACTGGTGACTCCACTGCGCCTGCTGGTGGTGGCGACGCCCGAGTTCGTCAGTCGCCTCCTGTACTTCCTGCCCCGGTTGGTGGAGCAGCGGCGTGGTACCAGGCTCAGCGTCAGCAGCAGCTTCTGCAGCACCAGCAGCCCCTCTCCTCCCAGCAGCCTCAGCAGCAGCAGCGGCAGCAGCTGGCTCCAGGGTCGGGGCTGCGTCAGACCCAGCGCGGTGCTGCTTACACTCCCTGCACCTACCAGGTTCTGACAGGCACTCGTCGTGGCCACCCTTGTGGCCGGTTTCACCCCCCTGGTCAGTGCTTTGCTCAGCTCACTGACACGGTTCGTTTGGTCTACGGGGTTGGTGCTCCTGCCCCTGACTGGCTGCCTCTTGTTCAGCGTTACGGCTCCGCTCTGTGGGGCATGTCTGCTGAGCAGTTAGTTGATCTGATTGGTAATCCCCATGCTATGTATGCTGTTGTTGACTCTAGTGTTTCTGACTCTGTTTACTCTGGTGTTGTTAGCTTAGGTGCTAGCCTTGCTCAGTTGCCTGTTGCTAGTGTAGGTTCTTGTGTAGACTCTAGTCCAGCGGCTACCTCAGAGGACGGTTCGCTGTCGTTCACGCTGGACTCTGGAGCCTCTCACTGCTTCTTTCGTGACAGCACGACACTTACGCCTCTTCCTGCGCCTGTTTCTGTGGCGCTGGCTGATCCCACTTCGGGACCAGTCACCGCGCGTCACACTACCACCTTGCCGTGTCCGGCTGCTCCTTCTGGGTCTCTCACTGGGTTTCACGTCCCCTCGTTCTCCCGGAACTTGGTGGGCGTGCGACCCCTCGTGAGTCAGCACGTGGGTGTGTGGTTTGAGCCTTCTGGAGAGACTGCGGTGTGTGTTGACGGGGACTCTTACCAGCCCCTCGCCACTTTTGCTGCTGAGCCGGGCTCCGGTCTCTACACTCTTCACACTGGCCCGCGCGCTCAGCAGCGACTGCAGCAGCAGCAGCAGCCGCAGCAGCAGCAGCAGCAGCAGCCGCAGCCGCAGCCACAGCCGCCCCTCCTGCCCCCGGCCCCTGTTTTGCCCCCCGTTCGAGTCCTCGCGTCTCACCAGGTTGCTCCGTCCCCCCAGGTAGCTGTGTCTTGTCAGGTTCCTCCGTCTAGTCCGGTCGCTGCGTCGTGCTCCTGTCGGTCGCTTGCCCACCCCACCGTTTTGTGGCACCACCGGCTGGGGCACCCTTCTCCTCCTCGTCTTCGCGCTATGTCTCGTCAGCGTCTTGTCTTAGGTCTCCCGCGTGTCTTGCCGTCGCTGCCGCCGTCCCTTGCACCACCGTGCGGTCCTTGCGTCGAGGGTAGGCTGCGCGCCACCCCTCACTCCTCCTCCCTTCGTCCGGCCACCGAGCCTTTTGAGACGCTGCACTTGGACGTCTGGGGCCCCTCTCCTCGCCCTGGCCCTGAGCGTGAGCGTTTCTTTTTTGTGGTCGTTGACGACTACTCCCGCTACACCACAGTGTTCCCCCTGGCGAGGAAGTCTGAGGTGACTTCTACGCTGATCAGGTGGTTGCTTACCACCCAGGACACTCGTGGTCGTCGTGTCAGCTGTCTCCACTCCGACCGCGGGGGCGAGTTTCGCTCCGGCATTCTCGCTGGATTCTGTCGCGAACAGGGCATTCGTCAGTCCTGGACGCTTCCGGAGTCCCCACAGCAGAATGGGGTTGCTGAGCGTCGCATAGGCCTGGTCATGGAGATTGCCCGCACCTCCTTGACTTACGCCTGTGCCCCCCATTTCCTGTGGCCATACGCGGTCAGGTACGCCGCGCACCAGCTGAACCTCTGGCCACGCGTCTCTCGGCCGGAGGCTTCACCGACCAGTCTTTGGACAGGGTCCCCTGGTGTCGCGTCGAGGTTTCGTGTCTGGGGGTGCTTGGCTCTTGTCCGCGACACCTCCGCGGACAAGCTCTCGCCTCGCGCCGTTCCTTGTGTCTTCCTTGGTTTCCCTGAGGACTCCTCTGACTTCACCTTTTACCACCCTCCCTCTCACCGGTTCTTTGACTCCCGTGACGTCCGTTTCGAGGAGTCCACCCCCTACTACGTCAGGTACCCCAGTCGAGGTCTCCCGGTCCCTCCCCCCCCTCTCTTCCTGACCGCCGCTCCCCCGCCTGCTCCCCCGGTACAGCCTCCCCCCCCTGGTCCAGCCCCGTCTGGTGTGTCTCAGGCTAGCCCTCCCCCTTCGGTAGCCCCCCCTGTACAGCCTCCCTCCCCACAGTCTTCCTCGCCGCCTCCTGCAGGTGCTCCCTCTCGGGAGGTTGGTCCTGCGACTGTCCCTGTACAGGTCTCTGGTTCTGGGGGTGCTGGAGTTGGAGCTGAGCCGCGGGTTGCAGAGGACTCTTGTCTTCCGGGGGCTGGTACTGGTCGTGCGGAGTCTGGGGGTGCTGGTGCGGAGTCTGGGGGTGCTGCGTCTGGGGGTGAGGGTGTCCCTTCGGTTTCTGGAGAGCCTGGGTCTGGAGCTGGTGTTGGTGCTGCCTCTGGGGGTGGTGTGCTTGGTGCTTCGGAGGTCGACTCTGGGGCTGCCGCTGCCCCGGACACTACTCCTTCCCCCCACCCCTACCCGACCAGGTTCCAGGCTCGTGTTCGCCGTGCTCGTGAGGAGCAGCTGGAGTTGGAGAGAGAGGAGAGAGAGTTGCAGCGGCTCGAGGAGCAGGAGCGACAGCAGCAGGAGCAGCAGCAGGAGCAGCAGCAGGGGCAGCAGCCGCTGGAGCAGCAGCAGCCGCGGCAGCCGCAGCAGCAGCAGCAGCAGCTGCTGCCGTCTCCTCCTCCTGTCTCGGGTCTTCGGACCCTTGGTCTCCCGTCTCCCTCTCCTTCCTCCTCCCCCTCTCCTCCCGTCTCTGGTCCTCCGCTTCCTCCTCCTGACCCCTCTCCCGCTGTTTTCCCTCGTTCTCAGTCTTCGTTGTCTCCTCCTCCTTCTCAGACTTGGGCCTCTCGTCGCTCCCCTCGTGCTCGTCCCTCGTCTCCTGTTCCCTTCACTGACCTTCGTACAGCCTTCCTTTGTTCTCGTCCACCTCGTCCGTCTCCGTCTGTGCTTCCGTCTCCTCCTGAGTCGGCCCTCACTGTGTCGCTTCCTTCTCCTGTCACTGACTACTACCGCTCGTACCGTCCTGTTCTCTCTCGTGTTCTCGCCTCTCTTGTTACCCACCCTCGTGCCTCTGTGTCCTCTGTGTCCGCTCTTACTGCCGCAGTCACTGAGTTTGCCTCTACCCGCCGCCTTGACTTCGCCACCGCTCTTGTGGCTGCTCCTCCTTCCAGTCCTCTGGCCGTCGGGGGTGTGTCTGCCCTTGGCTGTGACGCCCTAGAGGACAGGCAGTTTGAGCTAGAGTTCCTGGCAGCCGCTTCCCCTCATCTCTGTGCCATGCTCCTCGCCCCTGAGGGTGACCCCGACGCCCTTGACATTCCGACTCCTCGCACTTACGCTGAGGCAGTGTCAGGGCCTTGGGCCTCTCAGTGGAGAGCTGCCATGGACGCAGAGATGGCCTCCTACAGATCCACAGGCACCTACGTCGATGAGGTTCCCCCTCCGGGGGCGAACGTAGTCGACGGCATGTGGATCTACAGGGTGAAGCGGCCACCGGGATCTCCTCCGGTCTTCAAGGCGCGCTACGTGGCTAGAGGTTTCAGTCAGCGCGAGGGAGTTGACTTCTTTCAGACCTTCGCGCCCACCCCGAAGATGACCACTCTTCGGGTGTTACTACACGTAGCAGCACAGAGAGACTACGAGTTACACTCTCTCGACTTCTCTACTGCTTTCCTTCAGGGCAGTCTTCACGAGGAGGTCTGGTTGCGTCATCCCTCTGCCTTCACTGGCTCTTTCCCTCCTGGGACCCAGTGGAGGCTGAGGCGACCGGTTTACGGTCTTCGTCAGGCTCCTCGTGAGTGGCACGACACCCTGCGTTCTACCCTGTCTGACCTTGGGTTCCAGCCGTCTTCTGCTGACCCGTCGCTGTTCGTTCGTCGTGGCCCCACACCTTTCTTTGTTCTGGTCTACGTTGACGACCTTGTTTTCGCCACCCCTGACAGGGTTGCTTTGGCACACGTGAAGTCCGAACTGCAGAAGAGACACACCTGCACTGATCTTGGTGAGCTGTGCCACTACCTTGGCCTGCAGATCACCAGGGACAGAGCTGCTCGCACCATTACACTTTCACAGTCACACATGGTGCAGCAGGTCCTTCAGCGGTTCGGGCTTCAGCACTCCACAGTACAGCGCACACCTCTTGCTGTTGACCACAGACTCACTGGACCCTTTCCTGACGAGCCGTTCGAGCCTAGTGGTCCCTACGCAGAGCTTGTGGGTTGCCTCATGTACCTGATGACTTGTACTCGCCCGGACCTCGCCTTCCCTCTCAGCGTTCTTGCGCGTTTTGTTGCGCCAGGGAGACACCGTCCTGTTCACTGGACAGCAGCTGTGAGGGTGGCGAAGTACCTAGCGACGACATCAGGCGTGGGGCTAGTTCTTGGAGGGCAGCAGTCTGTCGTACTTACTGGTCACTGTGACTCCTCTTACGCTGACGACGCTGAGACTCACAGGTCTACTCAGGGGTACTGTTTCAGCCTGGGTTCTGGAGCTGTTTCCTGGCGGTCCACGCGCTCCTCTTCGGTCTCGACCTCTACAGCTGAGGCTGAGATCTACGCTGGTGCCATGGCGGCACAGGAGCTGCGTTGGTTGACCTTCTTGCTCACCGACCTTGGTGAGCGGCCGAGCTCTGCACCGACCTTGTTCACTGACAACAAGGCGTCTATTCTCCTTTGTCGAGAGCCACGACTGGAGAGCAGAGTGAAGCACATTCACGTCAGGTACTTTCTTCTGCGAGAGTTGCAGAGGCGTGGACAGGCTCGCTTTGAGTTTGTGGAGTCCGAGGCCAACACTGCAGACATCTTCACCAAGGCGCTTCCGCCTTGTGACCACCAGAGGTGCTGTGTGCAGTTAGGCCTTGTTGACACTGGTTCTCGTGTTGCTTAGACTTGAGTGTACTGTTTACTTTGCTTTCTATATATCTCTGTTACTTCTTGGACTGGCCTTGTGGCCACTGTTGTTTGTGCTCAGACTGTGTGGTGACGTTGTGATCCACCCTGAGCTTCGTTTCTTGGACTGGTCTTGTGACCGTACTCGTTTGGTTCTGCTAGACACCCCTCACTTAGGCTATGGGGGTGTGTCAAATGTTGTAGCCTATAGTGAGGTTTGTCTTAGGGGGTACAAAACTTAGGGTTATGGGCGCACTCACCCGCTATATAAACAAGCCCTTTTATCCCAGTGGTTAGTGGCTGGGATTCTGACACTAAAACACCTGTCAAAACTTACTGCACACCATATATATTCTAGAACGCACACAAGAGATGCACAAGATCTCTAACGTGTTGGAAACAGTGAATCTTAAGCGCTTCAGTCGTGTCGAAACATCGCACCAGAAGCGAAGCAAGCTGTATCGAAACAAACGCGAGTCAACCTTCGGAGGTTGAGAAGTTGCCGGAGGTTACGCGAAAG